GCAACAATTTATCTGTCTATATTTCTGAGATGAGGTATTATGCACATTATTTACATTATTCGGAGTATTGTCCTCATCTTTGTCGCCATATTTATTACAACGTTTCGGCCGTTGTACGCTCCGGCCTTCTTCAGTTGGTTGGAATGTCGAACTGAGCCCTTTATTTCGCTCAATGGGGTAGAATGTTCTAGTTCCACATGCCATGTATAATGGCTGTCAGTTATCTCCTGTTAATTTCCCTCTGAAAGTTCTCCACTGCCTTAACCGGGTATTGAACTCACACTCTTTGGGTCCTGTCACTGGATCTAACCAACGCCTTTATCCAATGTGCCATGGCGGCAAAAATGAGGACAATAGTCCGAATAATGTAAATAATTCTAATTTAGTCAGACTTGTGTTTGGGTTGTCAATAAAGACTTAGTACCCAACTTTGATAGTGATGTGGGGCCAAAGTCTGGACCACACAAGGAAAACACGGAACACGGATTAGATGTAAGAAAGATATATTAACAACAGGTTACAGAGATAACGTAAGCGGAGCTTACTATATGTTAGTGTCCAATACTGGTAGTCGTACGCGGCTCTCACTGTCTCTCTGACTCTCTGTCAATCTCTAGAGTGCTATGTCGCCTACTGTTGGGGCCACCCACCTCCTCATCAGAATGGACTGATCTCTCTACTACTAATAGAACAGTTCTATAGAGTTCTGGGAGATCAGGTGACCATCACACTTCCGTCTCTCTACCTGAAGATACAGTTGGACTTTATACTCCTTCTGATTGTGACTGACTAACCTGCGTTCGTTTGACTACTAATCTCTCTGTTGTAAATACCTCTTCAGATATACCAGTATTTTCCCCTACGTATGTGTTTCTCTTTATTTCAATACACGCACGAGGAAACACTCAACATCTCAACACCTACTTAATATAGGCTTGGAAGAGTCTATTGTGTAGGTAGTTTCCGGGCTCACAATACCCGCCTTCCAAAGAGTTTTTTTTTTAAAAGAGAGAAAAAATAAAACTGTTAATACTTTTTCCTCTTGGGATTTACGTCGAGCGGTTGAGTAAATTTCCTTTTCCCTCCTGTGCGTTGCACTTCAGGAGAGACTTGGGGCATGTCGAGATCGAATTAGAGATCTTGATGCGTGAGCCACAGCTTTTCGCAAACCATCTGGCAGTTTATGTAAACTGCAAGCACCAATGCCGTACGAGCTTGCATCACTTGCGACTATGATGTCGAGACTAGGTTCGTAATGGGTGAGGGAGAGGTCTGAAGTAAGAGTTTTCTTATTCTTCTCGAATGCGTCTTGGCATTCCGGGGTCCATGACCATGGTTTGTCCTTTTTTAAAAGTTGGTTGAGAGGCCCTCTCAAATTTTGCATGTTCTTAATGAACCCTTGGTAAAAGTTAGCTAGGCCGAGGAAGCTTTGTAACGCTTGAACGTTATCTGGGGCTCGGATGTTTCTGATCGCGTTGGCTCTTTCTGGGTGCGGCCGACGACTGTCTTTATTTATGATGTGCCCTAAGTATTTAATCTCTGGTAAGAAAAAGTCACACTTTGCTTCCTTAACCATAAATCCGTATTCTTGTATCTTTTCGAATACGTTTATTATATGGTTCCGGTGCTCTGCCGTAGTTTTACTAGTAGCCAGTATATCATCCAAATAGGCTGTTGCGTAGTCAAAGTCGCTCAGCATGGCGTCCATGACCTGCTGGAAAATTGCAGGCGCAACCTTTACTCCAAAAGCCAGTCTGTTGCATTTGTACAACCCTCTATGGGTGTTTATGCAGAGCAATTTGGAACTTTATTCTTCCACCTCTATCTGAAGGTATGCGTCCGAGAGGTCAATTTTAGAAAAAAAATTTCCACCATTGAGTTTATTGAAAATTTCTTCAGGGCTTGGAAGAGGATAGTGGTGATCTTGCAAGGCATCGTTTAACCCTGTGGAAAAATCTGCGCATACTCGTTTTTGATTGGACTTCTTTTTTACGTAGACCGTAGGTGCTGCCCACTCGCTGCAATCTGTTATTGACAGAATACCTGCTTGTTCGAGTCTATCTAACTCTTTGTTGATTTGCTCTAGAGCAGCGAAAGGGACATTCCGTTTCTTTTTGAATACCGGTTGTGCACCGTCCTTCACCTTGAACTTAGCTTTCATTTTAGTATATTTCCCAAGGACGCCAGAAAAAAACCTGGGGAAATTTTTGTTTGAGTTCCTTTTTGAGATTTACCAAATTGGACGTTGTACTTTGTATCTTGCGACAAAATGTACTCATTGGGCAATCCCAAAGATTGAATTTTTCTATCCAATCTGTTCCAAATAAGTTATCTGAAGTTTTCAATACATAGGCTTTGAGCTTTTTGGTAACTCCATTTAGTGTTACTGTAAGTATTACCTCACCTAAAATGTTACGGATTTTGCTGTTTTAGCCGTTTTTAATAAGGCCGGCTTGTTTAATTTTCGCCAAGTACGCCAGTTAATGGTTGAAAGATCGGAACCCGAGTCAAGCTGGAATTTAATGGAATTATTGAAAATATCCACAGTTACATATTTTCTTATATTCCTATCGACAAAATTGTCAGATTGAGCTTGCCTAATTTTATTTTTGGGTTTTCTCGTTCTGTTGGCGTACCAGCACGAAGTTAAAGTATGACCACTTTTATTGCAATTTTTGCAATATTTTTTGTTCTTAACTGGACAGAATTTCATCCAATGCCATTTACCACAATGGTAACATGGTCCGGGCGGTTTCTTTAACTATTTTGGGTTTTGGTTACTGCGGAATTTAGGACATGCGATTTGCCTTTTGTCTTTTTGAGGGGAATAGGCGGTAGACTTACTTCTGATTTTATTAATCTGAGCTACACCTGATTCCTCAATAGTGTTTGAGTCACACTTTACAGATATTACTCTTTGACAGTCCGCTGCCAGATTTTGGAGAGTCAATCCTTGTTCGTTCTCAAGCTTGGTCAATACCCGTTGTCTGACTTCGGCGTCTTCTGCTGATACTAGACCTTGTGCGAAAATCAGGCACTTGAAATCATCGGCAGTCAGTTCGGCTAGTTTAAAATCATTACAGAGCTTGTTTACCGATGCTGCAAACGTTCGAAAATCTTGCTGGTTGTCTTTGACTGTGTTCAGGCATTTCCAACGTTTGTGGAACAAGGTTGTGTTAGGACCGAATAGTTCCGATAGGAGCTTAATAGTCTCTGAAAAATCCAAGTCAGTGGTTTTCTTGGGTAGTATTAAGTCTACGAACCTACTATGTTCTGTAGTTCCCAGTTTCCTCAATAGTAGACGTACCTTTTTTTTTACTGGGCCATTGTTCACAGTCTACGTTGAAAATATCTTCGTAGCGCCTGTAAAAAGCCTCGAACGTTTTGTCTTTCTATGGTGCGTATTCAAAGGTTTCTATTGAATTGTAGATTGTACTCTGGGAGAATATTGTATCTTTTTCAGAGTTTGAGCCTTTTAATGCATTTACGAGTAATTCTTTAAGTTGTTTCTGTTGTAGTTCAGCATTCTGAAGTGTAATTTGTTGGAATTACATTTGCTGTTTATGTAATTCCAAAAATAGTTGTTGTTGTCTTTCTTCTGATTTTTGTTGCTGATCCAAATTTGCTTTTAACATTTGGGCAACTACTTTTTTCAAATCTTCCATATTTATTCAAACAAAAATTACAGCGCTTTTTTGTTGCTTTGAAACACGTGTACTAAGAGGAGGTACACAAAAAAATCTTGATAGATTTTTGTTCCTATTTTTTTTTCTTTTACAGCCCGAGTTCAACTCAGTTACATAAAAAAAAAATTTTCGATAGTTTTTTTTCGAAAAATTGAGTACAATGGTAGTACTTGCTCTTGTATTGTCAGTTTGTTTTACGAACAACTGTTTTTTTTCTCTGTGTGTGAGTGTGTAAGAATTCGTTTTTGTTATTTGGACAGACTTTAATATTCCGTCGATGTCGAAACACTGCTCGTCACTGATGTTTGGTATTGGAATATATATAGACGCTGGGTGTTTAGCTTTTAAATCGCTAATGTAGTAATACCAGCTTAATTTCTCGTTCAACACTGCTGTGGGAACGCGTGTAGTTTGTGTATTTTTCGATAACTGTCGCTATTGATATGGTGAGAACGAAATTCTCGAATCTTTCTGTCGCCACTGTTGTGGGACTGACAAAGTATTGCAGTTTTCGACGTGAATGCGTTTCTCGAATACTTCGTCGACACAGATGTGGAACTGGTAAGGTTTCGCCGTGAGTGCGTTTCTCGAATCCTCGTCGCCACTGATGTGGGGCCAAAGTCGGGACCACAGAAGGAAAACACGGAACACGGATTAGATGTAAGAAAGATATATTAACAACAGGTTACAGAGATAACGTAAGCGGAGCTTACTATATGTTAGTGTCCAATACTGGTAGTCGTACGCGGCTCTCACTGTCTCTCTGACTCTCTGTCACTCTCTAGAGCGCTATGTCGCCTACTTAATATAGGCCTGGAAGAGTCTATTGTGTAGGTAGTTTCCGGTTTCACAATAGATAGGAAATATATTAATCGTCTATCAAAATATGTTATACATATTCATATACTCAGAGATATTCCTACATTTCCATGTAACCTGGGGATATTTTTCCAAACGTTCATTTAGAATTAACCGATTACATCCTTAGGTTAATTTATAAATTGTTTTCGTTTTTTTATTGGATTAAGACGTTTCTCCAGCAACCCAGAGCTTACAGTTTCCTTGTAAATTTATAACAGCTTACTGTTTCCTTGAAAGATTACTCCATCACGAACACAGATTTTACATTACAAAGCTTCGAGAGAATGACACGTGTACAAGATTTTCTTTTTGCACAACATTTTCTTTCATCGTGTTTTTCATTTGACACATGAATTGCTGTAAATGAAAAACATGATTTTGTGTAAGATTAAATTGTAAATATTTCCTATCCAACAGTTGCTTTTAGGTATTTCTGTGTAATCCAATGTATACATGGATATTATCTATCTATCTATCTATCTATCTATCTATCTATCTATCTCAGTCTTTTCATATCTATCTATCTATCTATCTATCTATCTGAAGTTATTTATTGTCTATTTGGATAGCTTGATAGCTATATCAGTTTTTTAGTATCTATCTATATATCTATTTATCTATATGGAATCTATCTACCTCTGGTTCATTATCGATTTTCATTGCTAGATAGATAATGTAAAAACTTGATATAGTTATCGAGCTATGAAACTCAATAGATAATGAACAGCCTTAGAGATTGATAGATAGATAATGAAAAAACTATCTATCTATCGATCTATTTTCATAGCTTGATAGCTATATCAAGTTTTTTCTTTATCTATCTATCTATCTATCTATCTTAGGTTTTTCATTATTTATTTGGATAGCTATATCAGTTTTTTCATCATCTATCTATTTATCTATCTGAGGTTGTACATTATTTATTTGGATAGCTAGATGGATATCAGTTTTTTCTTTCTTTATCTCTCTCTATCTATCTATATCTAAGGCTGTTCATTATCTATCGATTTTCATAACTCGATAGCTATATCAAGTTTATTCATTATCTATCTATCTATCTATCTATCTATCTATCTATCTATCTATCTATCTATCTATCTATCTCATTCTTTTCCCTATCTATCTATCTATCTATCTATCTATCTATCTATCTCATTCTTTTCCCTATCTATCTATCTATCTATCTATCTATCTATCTATCTATCTATCACTCATCCCTATCTATCTATCTATCTATCATAGTCAGCTGGAATCTATCATTTTACCGAATAGTCAATCAATGAAACATAAAAATATTTTAAGTATCCCACTAGCACATGTACACATGCATATTTACTTGTCAATGTATACCTAGCATATTTACTTAAGAGAGAAAATAATGATATAATCAAAATGATGACATTCCATACTTCCTCACAAAACGTTAAGAACAAAATGTCCAACTCATGGGTTTAAGGAATTCTGTTTTAAGAGAAAGATTTCATAAATTTCCTCCGACAGTAACGTTAACTTTTCAGCCGATGAGACTTCGAATGTTTCCTTATAAGGAAACGGCTATCTTACCATTTCCATTGACGCAATTCCAGGCAGTTTGCCCAGGTGATTAAGTTTTAAGTTATTTACAAAAGTACATTCTCAAAATGAATACAAGTAGAGAATATATGAAGATAATATAAAGCGGAAAAGTTATTCAACTACACGTTTCGACCTTTCTAGTAGGCGTCCTCAGGTGAGAATCTCGACTTGTCTGATTAAAGGAGAAAACATTTTACTAACAAGAGACTATAATGAAAGTGAATCGATATTGGAATTTTCTACAGTCAAGTTCAGACCAAGCTCATATACAATATCGCCTACGATAGCAAAAATATTAATAACACAATGCGGTACACAAACTATGAGAGAATAAAAGAGATCTACTTGGAGTGGTACTAAATTTCGAATCCAGCCAGAATCTCTTATTCCGCCATTTGATCAGATCTTCTGAAGAACAGGCTATGCTAAACAGACAAAGAATTCCTTCTAATTGTGCAAAGCTTTAATGCTTATCGGAATGAAAGCTTCTCTATTTCTACTCCTGTGGGACATAAACGGTAATTATTTCTTTCGCTATTCGAAAATGAGGCTGCCCAGCATTTTGTGTCACGGTGACCCTCGTCACGTCCCTCTACGAATTCTGTGTTATATTTATGGTTGCATACAAAAGAATAAATTTCAAACTCTGTCATGATGCCATGTTCTACAATAAGTATTAATCAGAAAATAGATTAATTTATATTAATATTTAAACATTCATGTGTAGTAGATAAATGTTTAATCATAATTTGGCGCAATTATTACGATGCCCATCTTTCATTGATGGCGGGTTCATAGCAGTAATTTATTCATAAATAATTTTATGCACACACACGCACATACATTTTTATAAGAGCGGAATACACAGACCTAGTGCTCTGTATACAACGTCCCCAAACGACCTTCCGCTGGTTTTTAATCCAGAGGTGTCCTTATCCTATACCCGTTTCCGCAACGTAGTCTGTCCTGTTAATTACCTCTGGAGATAGAACAAGAGATAGCGGCTCAGACGGAAGAATCGGAGAGCCGAGTTTGAATCCCAGACGAATCCATTGCACTTATGTGCTAATACCCTTAGGAAAATTATGGATCCTCTTCATATATATATATATATATATGTGTGTGTGTGTGTGTGTGTGTAAAGCAATTAGAAAAAAGCAAATAAGTGAAGCAATACAATACAATATATTGACGGTGTGAAAACGTAGTAATAGAACACCCCATCATATAATCTACTGAATACGAGGACGTTCGACCTTTGGGGGGGGGGCTCCCAAAAGGGCAGTTCATACCACAACGGTATCAACCCCAAAAACGTCTTTACCAAATGCTTATGAAAGCGAAAAGCACTCATACAATGTTGTGACACTATTTAGCTACGGTAATTGGCTAACTAATTAAGCATGGAAATTAAAAACGAGAAATACTTAAGGCGACAAAGAGCTATAACGAAAGACATACCGAACGACATTATTTTTTTTTTAACAAAAGAAAAATGGGTAAAGATTTTATTTTCATTTGCGAAGAAAGATATTTTTTCGCAGAAGACAGAAAATTCGTAAGAGAAGTCGGTTTCAGATTCTGTCGGAATTAATTAATCTCATGATAAGAGAGTGTCGCGCCAAGGGAGACAGAATACGGGTAAAGAATAACAATTTCACCACACACGTAGCAATAATAAAAATTTCGATTCGGTCAGCTGCATGTAGGCCGAAGTAATCAAAATTCGGTTATATTGGATTCCGACGAAGAAAGCCAGCCGTATGAATACAAACCTTGTTATGGTCATTGTTACTGCATGTTCAAACTGTTAATGACAGACTTTCTGTCACCGAGAACGGGCATCTGGAAATGCGCTAATATTGAAACGAGAAACACAAAGAGATTTGGTCTTCAGGTGGAAAACGACCACCCAGTTAAAAGATGACTGCGATCATTAATGAGTCGGCGGAGAATTCTGCTAATGAATTCTAGGTGCCCCCAAAATAATATACTTGTTATTTCTCAACCAATTTGAATCTCCTGAGTTTTTTTTCATTATTTTTCTTTTACATACACTTGTGCGGTATCACCTTTACCCCGGGTTCAGCTTGCACTACGGCCCGACGCCTGATTGATTTCGTCTACCTAAGATCAAGTCACAACGTGGGTAGGTTAGACTAGAGATCAAAGCAGTTACTTCGGTAACCAGACGTTGGAGGCGAGCTGAGAACGACAAAGCTGATATCGAATCTAACCAGACACCAACCGCGACCAAGACAACCAGAGGGGTTAGTGTCCCAAATGGTTCCGTGGTAAACCAGGTTTTCACCCAAACCAGATCGTCACAAATGCTGCTGCAACCAGCCCAGGGTTAGAGTGTCACAATGTCAATAAATTCAACATCAAATTTACGCAACCTGATTTGTTTGTTCGTTTATTAATAGATCTGTCACACTGGTCAATACATTGGAAATTGCAAAAAAAAAAAAAAAAAAAAAAACAAATCGTATGTATGACTTGACAAATTATATGTTAAAACTTGTTTGTTTCTTTAAGACAAAATTGTTTCATTAACAACTTTTACTTTACACCTGGTGTTTGTCTCCTCGAATAAGAGATGAGAGAAAAGTATTCAGCATTTAATTGAATCAACAAAATTTAGCAGAAGAATTAAAAAGACATAATGATTTTCAGATGAATCCCTTGACGAATAAGTGTCAGAAACCTAAGCGCCATATTGTTGACAATACGAATCATTCCATAGCATTAAAAGAATCTTTTTTTCTAATTAACACGAGTCTTAATTAATTTCCAATCTTTAATTGCATTAAGCAGACCCTAATGTGCCGAGCAGAACAGACATTATTTATCTGCGAAATCCTGCTATCACATTTAACGTATAAAATGTATAGAACGACTGATTGATTACTGCTACTACTATTACTACGACTATTACTAGTTCTACTAATAAATTCTCTGATGCTACAGCCTGGAATAGTTTCTGATCTTAATTGATTAGAAACGCTAAAATGTATATCTTTGGTCTTGGTGAATAAATATGGGCTACAATAAATGTACCATTTAGGACCACAGATTTGTCAGCTGAGCATGTCCCCCGAAGTACTTACACACATCACGTCTTATAGATATTATATATAAATTAAATAGCTTTTATTCCAAAATCCGAAAAATATGAAAACTGAAGCACTTTCGGTCCCAAGAATTTCGGATAAAGAATTCTCAGCCTGTACTTGTAAAATTAAATTAGGACGGATATTAGTTTTTGACCGACCAATGTAAAATAAAGATAATATTATTACTAATAATGCAAAACTTATCTGAATTACTGAAAGTTACTTGTTTTTATCCATGAATTAGTTCCGGAATATACAACGAGGAAGCATGTTGATTGTAGGTGAGACATATTTACTATACAGGGCCTCTCTAATAGCAAGATATTTCCTGTAATATGGTTCATATAGAAATTTTGTGTTTTTGAGTACAATTTTTTGAAGGGTTCTTGTAAATTGTGGATTAATAGATGTTTTTTTTTATATAGCACTTTGATATAATAAGTCACACGTGTGGCGTTTACTCAAGGAGGTGATTATGTATACGATATAGGTAATTGATTTGTGACAAGAAACAGTTTAGGATTGGGTAGTTGCTGAAACTTGACTAATGCATGGAATAATAATGCAACACAAAATGTACTTAGAACAAAATGTATTGAAACAAGAAAGTGTACACAATATTTACATATAGTCTTTTGTATATTCCTGGGAAGACCGTTCCTGGAGAATGTGTTGGCAGAGTCTCTGGTTGAATCTCTTGATTCCTCCCTCTCTTCCCGGTACCAACCATATTTATATGGTCGGTACTCCACTATGCAAATTAAGTGGATCCTACCACAACACCCACCTCTCAAGCCTTGGAATCCCTTTTGGATTTCAAACTGGCTTCCTATATGGGTTGATGATTATGGCTATTTCTTTGTAGATCCAATTTCATACTTCATATGCATATGTCCATCCGCTTAATTTTCGTTTCCTACCGGATCTTCTCGATTCAGGAGTATTCTGCGGAGGTTCTACTTGAAACATATCATACATTACATCAATGGGATCTTCCTCCTCATCCGGTATACTCTCTTCATGCTCTATAACGTAACATTTTTTAAGTTGATTCTGGTGCCTTTTATGAGTATTCTTCGGCCCTTTAATTATGTAAATCAGGTCACCGATTCTCTTGTCCACTATATCTCGCTCCCAGAACTCAACGTTGTTTTTGTAGCACTTGAAAAACACTTTCTCTCCGGAGGTGTATCTTTTTCTCGCTGTATACATAGTATTCTTTACTCTATTTTTTTCCTGGCAAAAGTTTGTCAAACACTGACTTAACTTTCCTAGCGAACATTAGTTCAGCTGGTGCCATGTTTGAGTGTGATCTCTGGTTTGGCGTGATTCTGTATACTTGTAAGAATTGCTGAAGCGCCTTTTCCGTTGGAACTCCTGAGGCTTTCTTCAGAGCGCGCTTTAAAGTATCGAGAAATCTTTCTGCGAGTCCATTGGACCTCGGATGATACGGCGTCGTCGTTATGTGGTTAATTTGATATAACTCACAAAATTCCTTAAATTCTTCAGAAGTGAATTGTGTACCATTGTCAGTCACAATACACTTTGGCACACCGAACCGTTGAAATAGTTCATGCAAA